ACCACATGCTGGCTTCAGGAAAGAGACAGAGTTGTACATCTTTTAGTCTTTCCAAGATGACACAACCTGATATTTTGCTTTGAGTCGACAGGCGCATAGTTCCGTGCAAGTCGACAGGGTAGCCCCTCTTCTAATCGGTAGGCACCGTCCCCTCTCCTGCAATCACTGAATTGAGCAGATCCTGAGATCTCTGGCAGTGAAACAACCAAGCACCTGCCACCCAACAAATATGCCGAAAAAAGGAGATGGGTTGATCACACACTTAGAAAACCGTTGAGTGATACTACGCACCAAGCCCTACATGGTAAAACCCGAATCGGAAACGAGTTAGGCATACGAGGTGACACGGAGGAGAGATAGTGTGCGGAGTAAGATGACAACTCATGGACAATCATACAACTAGATTAAAATGACAACTGCAGAGAACAGGGTAAAATGGCTATTCGCTGCTGGGATCATATGTCCCAGTAGCAACCCAAGAGAAAATTGATAATATCTACTAAGGTCAGATCTCTGCAAAGCTCCACTTCGCTTAGAAACGTTGACTGACAGAATTTTTAATGAAAAACCTTGCACAAAAGTGCAGTGTGATGATTTACAGAGAGAGAGAGAGAATACATTTTTCCCACTAAACATTATTTGCATCCATGTCACCAAGTCTGAAGCCATTGGTCCCCCAGCCCCCAGTCACCACGTCTACACACCTTTCTATATAGCTAGCTCAAAGGATCGATAAAAAAACTGCATGCATTGTTGCCACTTTTTCGTTCGACCACAACTAACCTTTTTCTAACTTAGTCCTATGTTAAGCTAGTATTGCTCGATGAGGAAGATGATGCTTCGGTACGCTCACATGCTCAACCATCTCAAACGATGCAGCTTAACATACTCATCTGTGGGCCTTCCGTCTCAACCTACCTAACACTCTACACACTTAACCTCAATGTTACTATATTACACCAGTTAACACCAAAGACAGAACGTAAACATCTGTTGTCGAAGTCACCTAACTTCTTCATATGTTCCACTTTCAATGGCCATGACCCACAGTCATTAAGAAGGACAAGATGAGTGGAATGTCCCAGTTATTTTGAGATATCTCGAAACTCCATTCACGAATAAATATTGGTGCAGCACCTCTCGGTAGACTGATTCGAGTGCCACCTCCAGGCCAAGAAAAACATTGCACGTGTTGGTAACCGGTTAGTGTATGCCCCTGTTCCGGAACCTGTCAAAGGGTGAAGACATGGCTGTACACACCCTTCCTGGTCAAAAGCCGAACTGGTTCTCCAGGGATTATTCCCCTTTAGTCCCGCTTACCCTACACATGATTATTGAGTTTGGGATTTTAGATACTATATCAATCAAGCCTATTCCCCCGTGATTATCACAAGAAGACCTCTTGTCTACCTTATACAGTGGGATAATCAATATGGTTTACATAAGCCGACTTACGGGACACTACTGGTCTTGTGAACATTCAAATCTAAATACACGAACAATAGCTGGAATAAAGATCGTTTCACACAGAACCAATACTCAGTTAAGTAGAACTCAATTACGCAATGCTGAGAAATGAGAGCTACACTTAATGTTTATGCGACAGCTACTGATGATTATCTAATTACCCAGGCTGAAATAAGTGGAGAGAAATTTGAACCTGGGACCTACAGAAGTGGAAGTCGAGTGTTTTGATCGATTAGCTACATATACACCTTTGAGAGACACAAATACGAAAAAGCAATCAATATTTGAAACGGGAATAGTATCAGTTAGTTATTTACAAACTCTCGTGACGTTTTTTTATTCACCAGGCTAAATATTACTAATTGGATTTATTTACAAAGTAGAAAATTTTTTCCAAACTTACCTCAATATTAACAATTTTACCATGAGAATTAGGGCAACGAATCCCACGATAACATGATCCAGTTTCAAAAAAACTTTCACATGGAATTTCACTTAGGCGTGTCGGATGAGACAATATTACACGAACTCGTTCAGGCATTTCACCATCACAATCCACAATCGATAGGATTAAAGCATTCTGTCGAATAAATTTTCCATTTGAAGTCCATCCGGGAATACTACAACGTTGTCCAATTAATGAATGCTCTGTTAATGTGTTAATCTGTGAAGATGAAGATTCGATCTCATTGTCTTTTGTAGTATTATTATTCTTAGCAATGATAGAATCAACTTCAGTTAGTAGTTGTAATTTCCGATAAGCCAAAAGTTCATCTTCTTTCAATGTAATTAACTCTTCTAAATCTTTTTTCAAGTTAAACAATTCACAATATTTTAATTTATCATTTTCTATTGATAGGCATGTATTTATTTCAGTAAGTGTTGCTTTTAAACTTTCAAGTTCTTGTAATGATGTCAAGTTTGACTGCAAAAAAAGTAATGAGACTAATTGGAAGAGTACACAATAAAATAATCACAAAGGAATATATAAATGCACAAATACTTAAATCAGACATACAGTATTTTATACATTGAGGAACAAAATTTGAAGACATGAAATTTTTAACAATTTAGTAACAAATATAAAAAGATCACTAAAAGTTACTCTTTCTACTTTCCGAATCACATCACAGCTATACAATAAAAGATTTGTAATTGTTTAGTCTACAGTGTTATTATTCTTATTACCATTATCCAAGTCACAAACTTCGTACATAATGAGCACTGAAACATGGCGTCACACAAAATCTCATAGTTTTATGAGAAGGCTGGCATAATGTCAGGACGCCCAGACTGAAGCAGGTTGTCTTAAGCGACCACACCTAACTCCTCGACTCGAAGCCTGAACTTCACTCACTACAGTGAAGCATTGTTCTCATGGCTACCGGTAAGCAAATCAGATTCACACATTATTTGATCTTTTCGGTGTCTGGAGACCATGTACAGCATAGCTTTGGAATCAGGGTTTTCTAACTCTCTTAGGTAGACCAGTATGTGTCCATTAGTCCGGTTGTATGCGCGAGATGTTCGCATTCACCCCCGCCACCCGCTTCCACTTTTGCAAAGAATATCACATTGTGTGAAAGAAGTGAATAAGAGTTACCTGGTAGAGACAATAAACGCTTGGTCACAATACATGAGAGCATCTACAGAGGAGAAAGACCAAAGTCAACATACTCACAGCATGCCTCTATATAAGGGCGTTATCAGTTTAGCAAACGGATAATAACCACCAAACTAAATTTCTTTGATGTCTGGAGTTTTATGACAACATAGTTGTTGTCATTTTCTTTCTTCAGTGAAACTCTTCAAACGTCGACTTCCTTCTCTACACGCACAACACCATGTATATTAAAAAGGTTGTAAACTAACAAATACTACATACTGAAACATCGTTATTAATGCAGATGAATACGTACATGGAAACCGACTGACTACCGAACCGTGTAAATTTTCTTTCCTCGGGTAACACATTTCAGTAAACAACAGATCTGTGCACTAGATGATAACTGTAGTAGTATAGAGATATTGAAACTCATTCGAAATATACTAGTGAATCATTGCTGAACATGTTCTCTTGGAATAAAGTCAGACAAATGAAAATACTCAATCAACAGTAAGGCTCAAATTCTCATTAATGCACCACCAATGAAATTTATATAGATCAGAAAAAAAGAAAAATTAGAATCAATAGAAGAGAACCAGCCATGTCTATCTATACAATAGTTTCAGGTACAACAGTCGCGGATTCCTACGTCAAAAACTAGCCAGGAAATAGAGAAAGCAAGACAGACATTGAATACTGTGATGAAATGAGTGTGAGAACCTACAGCATTCAACACTGCAAAGAGCATCGAAATTTTCAACACTACTTTACAAGTCACTGAGTCGCTTCTTTACTGTTGAATAAACCTGACATGCGCATCACCAAACGCATTTTGCTAAATGCTACTGCAGACTTCCATCAGCAGTAGTTGCTTTTCACTCAATACTAAAGGTCAGATAACTGGAAAGAAACGGTATGCAACAAAAGACTCTGACAGTGAAGCGGACAAGAATATCTTCCCTAATGAACACATGATGACGGAAATGGAGATGAACTGGGTAAACGTTGAGGCGTCACTCAAGTGACACCACACCCTATGCCAGCCATGTTGCGTGGGGGCTGGTGGTGACATGGCGATTACATGAAGCGGAGATGAAAGCTTACGTGTAGAGTCGTCGAGCCTGTTGAAAGTAATAGCAGAGAAGTGGGAAACGTGCAGCTGCAGACCCACATCCAACCCACTTGGAATCTAAACAATGTAGTGATAATCTGACAATAGTCGTCCGTACCAAAATCTCTAAGTAGTACAATATATGATATCTATGTGATCATATGACACACACAGGCAAGACACAGGTTATACAACAAATAAGAAATCGAAAATATCCACATTTATATGCATAGATTAATATATTGAACCATTCAAATGTGTTAGACAGACAACATGGATTACAGTTTTTAGATCAAAAAATACTAATACTACTAACAATAATAATGATATATACACGTAGCAACGCACATATAAAAATGAACACTGATGACAGAGATCATTTAGTAGACACACATACGCACACGTATATATATATATATATATATATATATATATATATATAGAAAGAGGCAAAAACGGAAGATGAGCAGCACAAATTACTGCAATAAGTAGATTAACTAAAGACAAAAATAATAATAATAATAAATATGATAACGATGGTAATGGCTGGAAAAAATCCTGATACATATATATATATATATATATATATATATATATATATATATATAAGACAGCAAATAAAATATACACAAACACATAAAATCTATTCAAAACAAAGTTTAGGTTATTATTTAATGACTATTTGTATAAGTGAAAAGGTGTCATTTTTGCCACATAAAGTATGTTGAAAATAATCTCAGAAATAATATATGCACATCTTTAGGCAAAGGATGAAATGCTTATTGGTTGAAGCTTGCTTGTCGCGAGGATTCAAATCTATCTCTTTTTTGATGATTTTGTTACATCTACAATTAAAAGGCACAAAAAAAAATAAGAGAAATTACCTTGATAAACGAAAATCAACAGGACGAAGTACACACATATGTGTAACCTACTGCTATGTTAATTTATTAACTCATTATGGATTTTGTGGGGATTTGGATTTTTTAACCACGAATCAAAACCAGTTGTAGAGAAGGCAGTGGAAAGCACAGGACAGCAGTAGAACTGGAAAGACAAATAGGCTTATCCTGTTCTGTTCATCGAACACGCATTGGTGTAGGCAGGTAGCGCAACATCATCATTAGTTAAAAACGTTTGAGTCAAGGGAGTCCTTGCATTCGAAGCACAGGTGATTGAATAGACAACGAATGTTGTTTTCTTTCAAGCATCTCTCTAAATAATGTTAGTTCGTGACGAAATCTAACAATTTAAATGAAATTAGTTTATTTGTTGAACGATCGAACAAATAAATCATGACCACATTAACCATGAATTTTAGAAGTGATGTTCACCTCTACATTTGTAAAGCATTATTAGGTCCCAGCACTATTGATAGACCATCAGTAGTCTACACACTGTCATATTTTATGTCAAATGGAGAAATAAAGAAATGCAGGCAAGATAAACAGAGGCTGTAGTGTAACAAGATGAGAGAAAAAGGAGAAGAAATCAATCAGATGAAATAAGACGTTATGATAAAGTCTCGGGTACAACATGAATTATATATATAGTTTCACTTCATATAACTATTAGGAGAGGAAGATGGACAATATTATGATTTGGTGTTTCCCATCTGACTTCTGAAGTAGATATTTAACTTGACCTTAAGGTAGATTAAAAGTCAATTCCAGTCAGAATATCTTTCTTAGATCTCAAACTAGTAATTTATTTGGTCATTTGAAGTAACCATACAATAAGCCTGTAAATTTATAGTCACACTATCTTTTCCCTACAGCAGTGTAGTAAATCTTCAGGAAGAGTATTTGAGTTGTTAGTCGTACACTTGTGCGTGTGTGTGTGTGTGTGTTGAAGTAACACTTCAGAATGAACTGACACTCAGTAATTAAGACGGTGAGTGATACAGTATCATTTATCTACTGACAATATATTTCAAATACAATAGCAGTGCTCATAATGATATCAGTATATATATGTTCATCATAAAACTTTCAGATTACTTATATAGATTGATTATTTCCTGTTGTTTGACTTTATTGCATCGGTTTAGTGTGTATACTCGATGAAAAAAGAGATTCAGTAACCTCCACGTCAACTCCATTCACAATTACATTACCCTTTAAAATGTGTGTTGTGTGTGTGGTTGTACGCTCAGTGCAATGTTGTAGCTGATTACCTTTTAGCGTTAATAATCCTTCACCAATCTATATATGTATATATATATATATATATATATATATATATATATATATGATTTCGATGCACTGTTCCCTTTGTCTAGGCATTTACTACTCTCTCCAGTTTGATCGTAGTTGCTCAAACATAACAAACGAAGGTAGACGCCAATGAGCAATCACGGGTCACAACCACCCCATACGCTATTCGACTGAGCTACTCATCTTATATTGTTTTATACAGTTACACACAGCACATTTTTACCCCTTATATCTAGGTGAAGTGGTCAACGTATTGTATTACTTTAAAACTTAATTTCTCTGAAGTGGAATGATCTACAACTCTACACAGCAACACCTGACACAACAGAAAACAGAACTATAAATGTCGTAGTCAGTTGTCGACGTGGACATGAGAGGAAAAAAGCTAACTCAACAAACTCACTCAGAAATATTGCAACTAACGAAGTATAGAGTAATTACTACTTCCACCATTGCAAATAAGTCCTTGAGAACTTGTTCCTGGACAAGCATTCGGTGAGTTTTTAATTAGCAAGGCTGAATGTTTCGAGCTACTAGTAGTGCTACTGGCTGCTGTACTTCGACGTCGAACTTGTCGTACATTAGTACTAGTATTGTTAGGTGAATGTTTTCGACAAGATCTTCGTAAATTCAATGAATTAGAGACAGTGTTGGAATCTAAATTTGTTTTTGAAGATGATGATGGCGAAAGAGATTTTGAAGAATTATTAGCACTATTTTCTAGCTCTTCAATAATCTGATTAACAGAAAGACTGAAATGTTGAACCAAGTTTTTCGTTACAGAATTCATTCTTTGGAGTGAATCAAGCAGACATCGTTTGCGTTGAGAAATACCTTTAATATATTCAAAGGCTCTGTTGAATTGACTAGTTAAAACAAGTTTGTTTGGAAAATGCGACTGCGAACTTGCTGCCATAGAATTCGTAGGTCTACTAAAACTCCAAGAATTTCTAGAGGATAATAAAGAGCTGGCATTAGCTTGACCATTGATGAAATCAAGTTCTCTTTCTAAAGCAGTCCCCATGTTTTCGACAATTTGTAGGGTTTGCAGTTCAGTGTATGCCTGAAAATCGAAAAACAAAATTAAACTCAGTAATAAACATAAGCGTAAATCATGTCAGTAAGATCAGTATCAAAATATATACACGAAATATCCCGCTAAGAAGTACTTTAAAATCTCCTCTCAATAAATAACATCATGGATTAATTGCCCCAAGGGAAAAACTTTTGTCAAAAGAAAGAATTTAGTTGGAAACCATCTGGTTCATACATATTAAAAGAGCAAACTTGAAAAATAAAAGTAGAACTTTACAAACCAATGTCCATTAATTCAAGTTGACATTCACTAACGATTTTTCAACTCAGTTGTATTATTAGTTGTCAAAGAGCATGGTGAATCAACATGAGTAACGCACATGTCCTTGATGCCATCCCAAGTGTTGCAGCCCCACAACCTCATCACACCAACTGACATTTCATCTCTATGCGTTAAACTACAATACGCTTCCTAAGCTCATTATCGAATGACTACTGATTACGACTTAGCAACACGTTTCCACTGTCGTTATTAATGACTATTTGAACTACTCTCTAAAATTCAGTGTGAATAAATTACCAAATAAAAAGTTTTCCGTTCTCAAATATCCATACAAATTGAAAAATACCATTATTTTCTTTATAAATATTACCTGTTGTTTTCTTAATACGGAAAATCTGACTCACTACTGATTATAGCGTTTGACACGCAGCCATCCACCCACCCAGTGGGTCCCTGGGTTTGAGTCCCAGGTAGACAGTATCATCAGGGCCTGACGCTATTTACAGCTCGAAGACTGGCATGTAGAAAAATATGTTCAAGGAAACTGCCCTCTAAATAACTTTTCCTACTGAAAACTAACGATATATAATAAGCAAGAACTCGATAACTCGCTTAGCAGGCACAAGTTTCTTTCCCGATAGGCGAACAAAACGCATTTCTCTCTCTCTCTCTCCTACTTCCAAATTCGATAAAGTGTGCACTCGCCTGCAAATGCATGTTTAGGTATCAGGCCCATAGATTAAGAAAGTACTCCATACAAAAAGTGATATTACATTGCACAGTGGTTAGGACTCTCGCCGACCATGCACATGGTCCAGGGTTCGATTCCCTGCCGACGCACACCCGATATCTATGGTCGGCCTGTAAAATTTGGGCTACCGATATCCATGCTGAAAATTCCATACTTGTACTGAAAATACGGTGTGGCGTCAAGCTGTAATCAAAAATATTAAAAATATCAAAATATTAAAAAAAATAGGTGTGGTTTAACGAATTAATGTCACTCACCAGTAAATCTAAATTATCTGTACAGCGAAAAACTCTCCAACCCGAAGTATTTAACATTGACGTCTCAGTTAACGGGAACCTTAAAAATCCACAGTCTTTTTGTTCACTACGTAAAGCCAAAATGTCCTGCACTAAACGTTTTGCTGCACTTGATTCTTCCGAAGCATTCAGACCATCTAAACTCCCAGAATCTTTACTCCCTTTTTTCTGATTTACAGAATCAATACGTGAACCAGTGATCAATGAACGACGTCGACGGCGAGTAGAATACGAACCCGCTCTTCGAGATGATTCATAAGTGTTGGCACGTTTCGACTGCGACTTTACAGAAACTTCGGAAAGACTGAAAAGTGACAGGAAAAGTATTTTTTTCTAAACAAAATACGTGAAGTGGAGGAAAATGATACGCAAATTATAACTGTCTTCAGAAAAAGATACTCTCACTTGTAAATGACACACACAATACCTGAAAAGTAAATCTTCAGAGATTGATTATGTACACAATATATCATGAACTGAGTCGATACATTACTAATGAGCGTTAAACACTAACAACAGGATGCGCTCTTTTCAACTGATTGGTCAAAGAAATCAGATTACCCAAATGGTGCAGTTCATTCAATAAGTTTCGGTGCGCTAGATACTTCACTTTTATTTATGTAACACAGCATAATTCCTCATAAAGTTGATCATTGAACAAAATCTCGAGTAAAAACCGTCAACTTAGGGTACTACTACCACCAACTTGGGTGTAAGATGCATTAGTTGTCTATTTTTAATACCAACACACCAAGCAAACAGAAAACCAAAACAAATGTATGAGAAGTTTAGTATTTTTATCACCAATATGTAAGCAGAATCATGTATAGTACCTGTATTGCAGTCAGCATATAAGTGACATTTAGGTGACTATACGGACTTAATCAGAGTCCATCATTATTCAACACGAATTGTTAATTTACCGTTTGAGCAATCTACATGATTATTAATTATGCTACGACTTTCATCAATTTAGAATTATCACTAGAAGGCTGATACAATCCTAAACCTCGTTCAGCCGGTAGTAAGTTCCGTAAAGAGAGAAGGTTGTTCGGCTCAAGGTTAGCCACTTCACTATGTAAAAACGACAACATCACGGCTACTTGGAAGCGGAAGCTTTGTCCTCCACTCGGGAGCCAAAGGAAATAAGGCAGAGTTAAGATGTGTCAATTTAAAATCATCTTTAATTTCACAGAGACTGCATACGTTACAGTCACCAATTTGTGAGTTCTATGATGATGAACGGAAATAATTGAGGAGTACCACAACTGAGCGAGTGAGCAATCTCACAATGAGCCGACAGGCTACATCGACTTGAACGAATATACCTGAAGGTTCTACCATGCCAGGGAGGTCGTACAGACAGCGGTTGGACCAAGAGCAGTTACCGTGGCACAGTGATTAGGGGCTATCGCCGACCATGCACATGGTCCAGGGTTCGACTCCCTGCCAACGCACACCCAATATCTATGGTTGGCCTGTAAAATTTGGGCTACCGATATCCATGCTGAAAATTCCATACTTGTACTGAAAATACGGTGTGGCATCAAGCTGTAATCAAAATAAAGTATAAACTGTTCACAGAATGCTGGATTTCTGTGGGCGAAGTCGAATAGGGATTCACAGCAATAATCTGTTTCCCTCAGATGACCGGCAAGCGGACTTCGCTTTGAGGAGGGGAGTCAGGAAAGCTCGGTCCCCACAAATGTACAGCTTGGCTTACCTTGGGACCCTCTATAGGATTAGTAGGATCTTGAGTGTAGACACAACTCCAAAAACCAACTAAAACAGGTCGTGTGCGACCAGCCTCTAACAGTTGTCTTCTAGGCCGTACGATCAACACAACACTTAGGCTCCTTCTGTTTCGGTTACCCCAAAAAGAAATCAGCTTCTTTGGTGTAAGCAGTCGGAAGGTAATAATCGCCTACACAAAAGCCCTTCTGATTATAACTCTAGCGATCTTTGATTGTTTACGAGCGTTTCCTACTTGCTTACTACACCCTCACCCCCCCACACACACACACATCCAGAATTTGCGGCTCATCTCTTTGTGTCCATAATGTACCAAGCTTGTGGTTTAAGTAATAAAATAGTCTACAGAATGATTTAGAGAAGCGTCATACTACGACACTACAATGTATAAAGTTTCATGAAATTATCTAGTTGTCTAAATTTAGGTGTATATAACAGAAAAGCATGTCAAGCAAACAATCTAAAACGCACTTGAGAAAATGAGTAGTCTTCGAACGATAAGCACCACCCAGTCGACTATTAGATGATCCATATTTAGGAATAATAGATGGTCTAGGTGGTCTACCGTGAAGTATCCATTCACATCCATCCACTGGATCTACAGCCCATAGAATACCAGTTTTTGAAGTTTTATTGTTGTGATGATTATCTATACTAGTTGAAGGAGATTCATTTACTGTCTGCTCCGTAGTATCTACTTCTAAATCATTTTTAGTTCTTTTTTTGCGTAGTGGTACTACACTACTGTGAGTAGCAGTAGTAGTGGCAGTAGGTAGTGGTACTGTTTTACTTTTATCATTCCCACTATTATTATCATCGGTATTGTCATCTTCATGATAGTCATCAATACACTGATTAAAGTATTTCTCAGAATTAGAATTATCTTTAATTAGATCAAAGAAATTACGCTTTTCATTTGACTCCAAACTGTTTGAAGATTTAGACTGTTTCACTGTTTCTTCTAAATCAGTTGCCAAGCATACATTTGTAGTAGTAGTAGAAGTAGTAGCAGCAGACGATGATAATTCCAAACTGGTAGAAGGAATGTTGGATTTTTTTATGAAATCAGTATTATTATTATTGAAATGGTAAACATCTGTAGTGGTAGTAGTAGTAGTAGCAGTAGCAGCAGCAGTAGTAGTAGTAGAAGTAGTAGAATCAACTTGATGACATTGTTTTAAAGTAGACACTAAATGATGCAAAAGAGAATTTGATTCAGAAGATCTGTAAGACTTGCCAGAATGAAGAACGGTGTGAAACTTTGGATCCTCCGAAATTATTGATTTAGGAATCTAGAAGAAAAAAATAACAGCGAAATGGGAAGGTTAATCTTATGTAACAAAAGCAAAATCTGATTGGTTGGAAGATTTCATTATGAGCTGACATCAGTTAGAGAACCATTGGAACACTTGAGAGTACTGGACAGCAGTTTCGTCCTAGTTTAGGACTTTTCATCAGTACGCACCCACCGCCAGGGTTCGAACCTAGGACCTTCTGGTTACCAGGCGAGCTGGCTAAGCCGCTCGGACCCGATCCAATGGCCTATGAATTCTAACTTCTGCCAATCCCATCCTAAAATATATATGTATATGCACTTAAAGCTTTAGTCATTTGCATGAATTGCTTAACTCATTATTTAACTTTTTTCATCCAACATTTTGTGATTTTCATCTGAGTGGATAGGTCACTCACTACTCACTACTAAAATCTTAATTGACATAAGTTCAGTAGAAACTTAGGAGAAAGAAGGAGGAGGAGGAGTGGGTTAAAAAACACAGCGCTTGTTTATTATACTTTGTTGTCATCAAATAACACACTGAGTCTTTATAATGCGTTGTATCGAAATTCCAGGTACTAGACAAAGCAAATGTAATAACACGATGCAACCTGATGACTGATATATATATATATATATATATTATTCATTGAGGTTCACAATAGGACTATAAAATGCAACTGCCCTGTCTCCAGGTAAAACTCAACAACAGTTCAAAAAGTTATCGCATCGATGAAAACAGTGAGACACCCCAGTCATTTAGTTTTTTTCACAAATATAGCTTGTCATATTTCAATTTTCCAGTGTATTGTCTTGGCAGACTATTTTTATAAGATGGCATAATTATTCACTTGAAATTTAGAATGACTGTACCATATAAATAACACATGGGAAAAGCCTAATTATCACACTGTATACAATGATGGTGAAATATAAATTTGTTAGCGAATACAGGCGGCAGGCGGGTGCACTAGTGTTTGAGTCACCTAGCTAGAACTCAAATTAACCTGAACAGATTTTCCATACAGTACATCAGGTCTAATGATATTGGCCAGTAGAGCTCTTCATATCCAAGTATATGCTGGAAGATGATTCGAAAATTAATTACTGAAATCAACTAGGCGCATCCCAACAGAATCGATCTGTAACCCTTCACACACTTAATATCCCATAAGCCATACTGAATGCGTTAAAGGCGTATTATGATACTACACGGATGTCTATATAAAATTCTTAAGTCATTCACTCATAATTTCGACAATACAAAATAACTATGTTGGACAGAAATTTTCCTCTGTGAATCACAGTTCTCCAAAAGTGTGCATCTACAAAACCCCACACACAAAACATTAAACTTGGAACCGTTAGGTAGGTGTCTCTTGGCAACTATAAATATGAAGTGGAATAAAAATGACTGAAGATAATTTTCGATTCGTATTACCAATTGAAAATGTGTTATCAGGACTATTTTTGAGTGTAAATTCACTTACATCAGATATTGGACACAGGTCAGTAGAAAGAATATTTGGAGTAGAAGTGGATTGGACCTTAGACTCTTGAATTTCAGGCAAAATAACAGAACTAGTGTTTGGTGGTGGTGAATGTTTAAATCGTACTTGAAGGATGTTATTTGTTGCTCCCGAAACTACAACAGAACTTAGGCTACTTGAGGTAGAACACGCTGGCTCGATTGCAGTGCTAGAATTAGATGGAGTAACAGTCGTTGTGCTTAGAATTGGATAGACTGAGGTGGTTAAGACATATACTGCAGCTGCTTGGGTTTGCTGGATATCTGAAGCCTGTGAACAATGTGAATTTGATGTGCGTAAGTGTCCACCAGAAGACACAGTATGAGACGGTGACGTAACCATGATCAGTGAACTATCAGCTGTACAGACACGTGTTCCAAAACTACCTGCAGATGACGACTGAAAACAAGTAGTATTTAGTAAAATAGAATTGGTACTGGCAATTGATGTAGTCGGAGTTGTGCGTACCGATACTAAGCGGAGACCCATGAGTCCACTACTATTAGATGGACTAACATTCGTGGAGCAACTGACTGATGAAATGGTCGTTGATGTATTCTGAAAAGGAAGGTAAGTCATCAAACCGTAATGACAGTTATATTTGCAAGAATGCCAACATAAAGCATCACAATTAACATAGTACTAAATATTTGCTTGTAAAGAAAAGTAAAAAATTAAGAAAGTCGGAATGACTAAATCTGAAGCTGATGCAAACATATATTGTGACGCGTTGGATAATTTAAGGTTGATGAAATCTTCCTGAAATAAAAAGCCTTTTTTCAAACACACATTTGAGTTTAGAGCATTCTGTAGAATCTTCAATAACTGACAGAAGTATGTTTTATCAATCGCCTAAACACAATGAAAACAAAAAAGGAGGCTATTAATTGTAGTCCACCAAGCTACAAAGAGGTAGACACCACCAGTGGATCACCGAAGCTAAAGAAACATTATTACCAGTTTTTGACCAAACAGTGCAAAACCACATCAATTCACGTTTAGTTGTGTCGGGATAATTCAAAGATGCAACACAGAAATGCAATGAAATCATAATGGACCGAGATGTACTAAGGAGAATAATTCAACGAAGATAAGTGAGGATTTTCACAACCTGTCTAGTGACCAAAAGTGAATAAACTGTGGACCAAAACTCTCCAATCACATTGATTCTTAGCATCTCAATGACTTCATACAGACAGTCTACACCACACTATATTGCCCAAATAAACACCTGATGACTTCATACATTGGTGCCGTGTGTTATTCTAACCATCACCCACCTATAACACCTTTCCAATCTGATCCTATTTCAGCTGACATTGCTCGTTAGTGGATTCAGCGCTGTGAGGTGCATAACACATGTACTAGTTATCTGAATTGATGCAGCTTCATTGCCTCATCAACTCACTTTACACAGAGCCCTACACTTTATCCTATTATTGTTGGCCATATTATTTTAGCAGCTAACACGAGAAATAACACAGATATCTATGGTTAGAAACCGCTATTTTTTCTTATCCCCATGTACGATAGCCATATATTAAGGGAAAGGACGGATCAAATGGCTGAGAACTTCACATATATGCTTTGATGGATGGGGATAATGTCATGTCTGCACTAAGACCGAGCAACGCCAAGCCAAACAAACCTTTTTTATCTCTGTTTGAGATTGCGTCGGCAGACAGTCGATTATGACTGATATAACTGCAGGAATAAATTAAGTGGCTAACACATTCAACCACATCCATTTGTTACCAGCCGGATAACAATCTCTAACATGTTACCTATCAACAGATGTCAAAACTAGGTCCTTGTTCAGATCACAATAAATTTATGAAAAGACTGAAGCTGAATTAAAACAAAGATTAACACTAATTTTATTATTTGCTAGCTTATTACGAAAAATATCACTGTAATTTGCACAAATTATAAACAATAGTTAGGTGTATGTTAAGCTTACCCGGTAAACAGAATCAACCGCTGCAACACTTGACCGGACAGAATTACCTGATATTTGGGGAGAATGCGTCACTTGACTGCTACACACTGGTTGAGTAAACTGATGTTGAATATTTGGTTTAGCCATGGCAACTAACGTAGTTGTTGACGGTAAAACATTGCGGCAACCTGACACCACAGAACTAAGAGTACATGGATTTGCTATACTATTCATACTAACCGAGGTTGGTGCGGTGGCAGATGAAACAACAGAAACTGGAGTAACCATTACAGATGAGAAAGATGAGGCAAGTTGCTGCTTACGTGCTCTTTTCCGACTAGGTTGAGAAAAAATTGATGAAGTAGGAAGTCGGTGGGAACTAACACAAACAGATGTATTTTGAGAAAAGTTTGATCGCGTTTGAGATACTGAAGAGGTTGAAGAAATAGTCACCGATGGCTGTAATGGAGTCAATTTGGCGGGAGCGATATTAACAGGTAAAATGTGTGGCATCACAGGCGTATTAGAAGTTGTAACAGATGATCCAGTACTTCCACTACTTAAATTAAACGATTTCAGAAGTGATGCCGGGCCAATAGAAGCTGAACTAGTGCTTGGTATATATCCAACACCTGAAGGTCCACTAGCCTAGAAGTGATAAATTTGAAAAAAACACAAGAGTTATGTAATACCAACAACAAAGCGCTAACAGACTTGTCAGTAACACATTCATATATTCAGAATAGCGATTTCAAAGGTATGCAACATTAGCGTTGTCTCCAATAGGAGTTTATATACTAGACTGAAACATTCACTTGACTAAGTGACTGGTTTCCACGTAGAACTTCGCACCGATGTGCAGCAGTTCGGGTTGCCACACTTCATTTAGCCCCACCCGGCCATCAAAGTGAATCTGCAAAATTCACTCAAAGGGTGTCAAGAGACCCCTCAGCTAGTTCGCGAGGACTCACAGGTGTAGGGATAGCATTCACTGTTAGGGCAGGAAAATCACTTCTTGACTGGATCCCAGTAGATAGTCGTATGTGGGCGATCCATCTGAATGGGTCCGTTAGAAGAAGGAAGGACGGCGTTACCTGTCATTGTCTTTTCGTAGTCTCCGCTTACGCCCCAACAGACAACAGGTGACTTCAATACCCAAGTAGGAGAGTCGTGCCAGACTGAGAAGTATTTAGGTTGTACGTACGCAGTTCCTTGCCAACGAACCGACAACGGTGATCGTCTTCTACAATTCTGTTCAGGTAATCACCTGTTCCTAGTCAGCACTAACTTTAGGCACAAAGAGAGACACTGCTTAACCTGACGACCTCCATCACCAAATCAACGCTGGAGTCAAATAGACCACGTAGAGATAGGGTATCGTTAGTGAGGGTCAGTAGAAGACTGCCACTCCTTCTGGAACACGTGCGTAGACTCCGTTCAAGAAACATTCACTTATTACTAAAGGTCAGAATTAAAAGATAAACAATCACTTACACGAACTATCAGTGGGGAAGTCGAATTGCAAGGACTTAATTGACGTACAGGATTTGTAAACATTCCGGTTGCGTTTGTGGATGCAGTAGGACTATGTACACTTGAATTTGCTAAATTGAAGGCCAGTACTGTATGATTAGCTGCACTTAACGGTAGGGTAGGCCCAGCTGTCGACGAACTCCCAGGAAGACTTCGGAGAGACATCATTAAACTTGGATTTAAAGATGATGAATTAGTTATAGTTGACTGCACAGACATATCAGATGGAGCTTGAACAATAAGAGACTGTGACGATTGAATAGTGACAACATTACCAGCTGGCGCAGAAACGATTGAAACATTTGGATTCACCGTTAATCCTGACCATACACTACCTGTACTTGATACGGAAGGTCTTGATGTCAGCATCCCTGTCTGTGGAAGTGACGCTGAGAAAGACACAACATTGCCGCCAGAGGAAGACAGACTGCAAGTAGACTTTGTAGTGGTGCATACAGTAGATGGAGGCGTAATTAAACGAACAGTAGCAGATAGTGGTGTAGAAAAATTGACCAATTTCGCTGCAAGACAAGTATGAGAACAAAAAAATTCAAAATGTCACTTTTACACCATTAACATAGCAGTCTTTATTCTGTATCTTTTCAAAACATTCATTCACCTTTATTCTTATCGTTAGTTGTCAGTGATATACTGACAGCCTGCATGACGTCATTTTATTTCAAAAACAGCTAGTTTCATGTCGTACACGATGACAGCAGCAACAGATGTCTTGGACGTTTTAGGTTTGTCACTGTTTACATATAATCTTGCAAAGGTTGAAATATGTCGTGTTACGTCGGTGGTGATGGATGCACTACTACATGTTCCTGAATAGCAATTAACTTATTTTTAAGATGGACAATTATATATATAGCAACAAACACAGTAAGTTATGTGTAATTCATATCAATATGCAATTATTAAACATAAATTTAGCATAATTTAGCTGTTTGGAGGGAAATCTTTCTTATCAACAATATACTGTTAAGCAGCTATTTTTATTGAAGTTGTAGTATTTTGACAGAAAAAAAGCATGAAACTATGCTTACCTTTTGATGCTTGTGAGGAATGAGAACTTGTCTGGTCGTGCAAAACGATAGTTGAATTTGACAAACTAACAGAATTGATGCAGCCTGAATTAGGATCAGAGGATAAACTCATCTTATTGGTTGAGGTGAGGGCCGAACTTGTGAGATTTTCTATCAAAGAGGAATGTGAGACATTTTGTGGTTTATGAATGAGAACACGAGAAGTGGAACACAGTGCAGAACTCATCAGCAGACTGCCTGATACACAAGAAGCAGGAGCAGGGAAGTTTAAAGCGGTCAAACAATGTGACCTTTGAGATTGTGATGATGTGGTACTAGTTGAAGATGGTTCAAAAACCAATGGGCATGAACTTGCGTTTGTTGCGGTGGCAGTAACTGAAGTTCCACAGTGAGACGGTGTACGAGATGCAAACCTAAAAGTAGAATTGATATAAGTATAAAACTTGGGCACTGTGGTAGAGTGTAACTCCATTATGGATAAGATTTTATTTTGATAAATCACACAGTGTTACACAGTAATATTAACTGATGACGTTTCGAGCACAAATTATTGCTCATAATCATATCAAGTTACTCACACAACTTTTTCCTTCATTTATATATATGTATGGAAGGATTTGGTCGAGGAGGACTGTGTATTACATATATATAAATGAAGGAAAAAGTTGTGTGAGTAACTTGATATGATTATGAGCAATAATTTGTGCTCGAAACGTCATCAGTTAATATTACTGTGTAACACTGTGTGATTTATCAAAATAAAATCTTATCCATAATGGACTAAAAGTAGAAGTAAAGCCACTTAGAATAACTCAGAAGATATACATACGATCGTAGCAACAAGCTGAAAAAAGATATAACAATCCACACTGATGTGACTTTCGTGTTACTAGGAGAAATACTTTCAAAGTATTTTCATTGACTAAGGTAAGTGTCACCAATATACAGAAACTTTTACATCATGAAATAATTTCCCAACAACCTCTGCGTACATCTATAGCTGACACATCAGATATAAAACATCCAAGTGTTTACTAAAAACTATATTTATCCCAGTTTAACTATAAGTTTTATAATTAATAGGCACACTGCTCTTCAGTTGACATAATATAGAAGTTAGCTGAGAAACCGTATACAACATAATTCAAAACTTAGTAGTATATCAGTTAGACTTCAGCAGACAATAAAGTGCTCTACTGCCAATAATAGTGGAAATAATGAATTGTCTTGCAATTGTAGGAAAATATCTGATTCAAAAAGTTGTGTTGCTCCCTCTCTCTCCCTCTAATTATGATTTCAACGACATTTATTTGCATTTCTCTGTAAGTCTCAGGATGATAAGTGCCAAACTTTGAAAATTTGACATTGTAAACAATCTCACTCCCTCCTCGTCATAATCTTAGTCAGTTACATAATTGATTTACTAAAAATGAAGTTGAGATCATGGAGAGTGAAAGACAAGTATCAAAAAAACAACGTGGACGCTTCTCACAACCAGGAAAACGAGGATCAAATCGCAAGTAATTGGAAATGTTAACCCAGTGTAAGCAGCATTGCAAACACCTAAATGTTAGTTTTGATACAGGACATTGTCATTACATACTGATAAAAGGTGACACATCCTACTAAGTGTTTTAATTTAGAGAACTACAAGATCATCCCCATTGTTTTATGCAAAACCATTCATATACACATAAACACCAAGAATGTTTCAAAGACCTGCTAATATGCTTCAAAAAACATATGTTATGCAAAACGCACAAACCTTAAGGCAAGTGTCGGTTGGATGTGACTTGACGCTTGTGGTGATATTACAACAGATGCGACCGATGGTGGTGTGGAGCACGTTTTACCAATCAACGAAGCAACAAGTGCAGTGGATGAAGGAGCACTGGTGACTACAGAAGGATTTGGCCGAGGAGGACTGTGTATTACATTTGGTATTGGTAGACAAGATGCAGCAGTCGTGGTATTTGTTTGTAGAAAAATACCCTGACTTGATGATGTGACACTATTACTCGTTGAATAACTACTCAGATGAAGTTGTAGTGGTGTAGCTGTACTTGACGTTGGTGCATGCATTGCAGAGGTAGCAGCCAATATTAGAGGAAAAAATTGACTGGTAGTATTTATTGGAGATGAGACAGACGTAGCAGACATAGGTAGACTCGAAATGTGTGGTTGAGGGGTATTTATTCCGGAAACAGATGAAGAAGTGAGGCCAGTAGGTTGCAATATTGTTTGATTTATCAAGCCAGAAAGTGGTTGTTGCACACTAAGTAAGACACGCGGAAAGAATGGGACTGTCTTCGATGAAGTACAAGTGGTGTTTTGTACAGTGGAAGTGCAAACATGTGCCTGACGATCTGAATCTGGATAAAATTAAGAAACATCAAACATAACACAAAAATAAGACTTCTAGAGCAAATGAAGACAGAGGATATAATTATAATCTTTCTCTGATACTCAATAAAGTGACTCGTAAGTCAAAATGAGTCAAGTGAATTATGAAAACTATCAAATATAGGCTATGCGTCACAAATAACATGTTAGTGGTTAACCACAAAGATTTTGTATCTCACCAACGCTTTCTAAACAGCCACATACCGAAATGCCCCATGGTTGTAAATATCCAGAAAATAGATGTTACAAATTTTTTGGAATAGTTTCAGCGCCAAGCCAGACTGGATAGATGTAAAATTACTTAAAATAATAACAAAGTCAAGACAAGCTGGGATTATCTGAAGCAATTTTATCACGAAGTGTTTCATGATTGTGAGGCGACAGTATGCGATTTCAATGGTACTGTTTATTATCTAACTAAATATCCAAAAATTTTTCCTTTAGCATCAAGTTCGCATTGGTCAATGACACCTAGAGATGTCCTAAATTTAAAGGTGTAAGTAGAAACTAACTAGCGGCTGAAATGTTTGGAATTCCCTGTCCACTGATTTCAACAACACGCCATAAACTACTGTTTGCATTGGATATAATCCGTGGTATAGTATCTGGAAAATTAAGAGACAATTGGCCGGCAAAGCAACATAAACAAACTGATGCACAATAGCTTTGACCGCTTCAGAGATATTGAATTTCATCAGAGATGTACTGATGGACTCAAACCTATCTCACTTCAGAGACCCAGGGATTGACTTGTTACCAGGAAATAATCTCGTCGACTTAGAATATGCAGATGATATAGTCCTGGCACCTAGGTGGACACGCTGACAAAATGCAGTCTTCTAAACACCTTGAGCTGCAATCTGCGAATGTTTGGTATGCGATTCGCTAACACCACATGTAAGATGATGCTACAGGACTCGACTGGACTGGACTACATTGACTCACTCCTAGCTTAAAGATAGGCAGGAGCGAAGTGGTTGGTGGAGCGTGTTGACCACTTCACTTATTTGGGAAGTTGCATCAGCCAACGCCAACGAGTTGATCGCTGACGAAAGGGCTCGTTCCGCATATGCCAGTTTACGCCGTCTCTGGCGTACACGTGATATACAGCTATCGACCAAAGGACATGCGTACTGTCCAACAGAAGTTCACTCCGTCCTGCTTTATGACTGTGAGACCTGGCCATTGAGAGTGGATGACATGAAAAGCCGGGCTAGCTGTCTTTGATCATAGGTGCCTGAGTTCTACCCCCCGTGTGAAGTGGTATAATAGGGTAAACAACACTGAGGTTAGACCTCGGTCGAGTACTAGGTAAGGAGGGGAAATCAATAGATGAGGCTGTCAATTTACATCGACTGAGATAGTTAGGACATGTGTTACGCACGCCTAGCAATTCATCGCCTTCCTCGACCGACGGGCAATATTACCTGACATACGGTCAGCATAGAAAAGAACTGCTAGTGGCGGAAAAGCCAAAATATGGCTTCATCAGTCAATGAAGAGACCCACAACAGTTAGTTTAAGCCAGCCAGCCACGTCGGGAGGTGTAAACTTTCTGCCGGTTGGGGTCCTCGAGACGGTAAACACCAACGAAGGCTGGAGACAATTCGTGATATGGCTCGAAATCGTTCTTAATGGCTGGCGCAGATGCATCCATTCCTTGTGACATAATACCAAATAAAACTATATTGTTCTTCGATATTACTATTCTTTTTGCCTCATATCTCTGTTCACTGTCTCTATTTTGCATCTCTTTTTACTTTCATCTTTGGCCTTGTGTGCTTTATGGAGTGTGGCAACTCGAACTGCTGTACATCGGTGCAAAGTTCTATGTTGGAACCAGTCAGTCAGACTGAATAGACTTAACTCCGAGGGATATCATATGTCGTGTTTTCATTTAATTACCATACAACGGGGAAGTAAATAGTAGAATTTAAAGAGACTGAACTTGGTCATCTGTGGAACCTATTATGCAGCCCGGCTTATAATTATCGGAAAGGCCAAAAATATGCTCCACCGCAGGATTGTCAAATCCTAACAATTAACGTTTTTGCATACACACATAAAGGAGTAATCGCGCTTTGCGTCTGAAGTGGGACAGCATATTCCGAGGTGGTGAGAGAAACTGATGAACTCACGAAAATCGATAGACGCAGGCAGCAGACTACCAACTTCGTATATAGCTAAACACTTGATCTACAAATACCACAAGAGTGATTTCAAAAAAGCTTTTAAAGTTATTTTAAAAACGGTCACTGGCACTTATTGAAATGCCCTGAGGCTACATTTATTCGCAAAATACAGTACGTCTTTAAGATAATCTCCATCGTCTAATAAAAGTATCTCATTACCTACTACAAGGAAGGATATGCATAAATGCATATCTAGAGGCTATACAAATGAATACTTGCGTTTAACCTGTCGTATGATACACAAAACGCATATTATCTAACTTACCGGAAGCAATGCTTTTCCGATTTATTCGCAGACAATAAGTTACACGCAAAAGTTTGTGGAACAACTCAGAGCAGTAGCTAGACCTTAGGTGCGATGTTTACACGTCTAACTATGATCCCAGCAAAATATCCACCTTTGTTTCGCCTTTATTTTAACAGGACTGAATTCCAATGTTACACTGTTTTCATCATGTTACCTACCTGACGCATCGGTTAAAAACCAGAAAAGGGTTGAGTACCATGGTGACAGCGTAACTGTGCTAATAAATACAGTGTGGTTAGGTCATAAAGAATTCAATCGTTTGGTGAAAACATTTGAAACTCCAAGATAAGGAAATACGAGGCGACCATAGACTTTAAATAAACCAATGACTTGTCGCATTCAGAAGTGGAAGCATGTCCCAAGAACAAACTAAGCAGCTGGACGGTTTGACAACAGCTACGAGTACCAAAACCCACTAACAGAGATAAAAAAGAAAGCTACCATTGTGGCCATAGTAGTATCATCACACCAAACAATCAACAAATAACATAAAAACATATAACGACATATAAGAAAACAAAACAGCATACCCTTGGTTACTTTACTTGAGGATAAGACCTGGTTGATATCGTTGTCAATATCCATAAGTATCATGAATGCACCGAACAAGGCGTAGATGAATATGTGGAAAATACAGCAGCCAAACTCAATGAAAGGAAACTGAGACCTGTCATTCTGTACTCTTTACAGACTTTATGATGCAAAATGGACACCACCGATAGATATTTTGACCCAAAACACGGACAATACCCTCAAAACAAGATCTAAGAAACGAAAGCAAACAGTTCTGGTCCGACCTTCACAATCCACTTGATACAAACAATGGGCTTTATATTCAATCCTCAATTTCGGCAATTGTTGAACGACTTGAGCCGCAATGCAGTTCATGCCTCGGTGATGGAATAGGTTCGCACACACTTTGAATAGGCAGTGAGTTTCTTGCTTGCCATTTGAGCCTCATCCACGAAAGGGGATAGCAGGCAAACAAAACCAATAACTGATATCGAAGAGGATGACAGTGAATGGCCAAATGTAGATTCCCGCAAAAAAGCGAGACAAAGCTACCATAGAACTCACAGTCTTCAGGGAGGACGGATTTAGAAAGCCATTCCAAGCAAACTTGATCTCTCCAAAATGTAGCCAATGCTGCACAAAGTGGAAGGATCAGTGGCTTAGGATCCAAAGACCGGATTTGAGCATGACGCCACCCTGGTCAAATCAATCTGTAGCAAGTTACTGCCCACAAAAGTATCAGGCCCGACCATCCATGGCTTGTACAGAGTCGGCCAAGAGACTCTCTTTACAGTTAATCAGCCGCCACACCTCGAAGTTTTCCTGAACTCAAAGACAGAATGATGCTTGACTAACCCACTACTAATATCAAAGGATCGGACATCTACGTCAGTGCTTAAATCTGCCTAACATACAGTCTGCAGCTCTAGAATTAAGACAATGGTGTCGAAAGGGCGATAAAATCCCTATTATTAACGGTTTCCAAGTTGTCATATTTCGAAATCTGATGCTCTCAACACCCCTATGGGTAGAGCACTGAAGCACCAAACAGAGTTTCTATTTCGAATATTTTCGATAACAGCTTGATTCTACACCTTATTTTTGGTACAAGTATGGAATTTTCAGCATGTAATATCTGTAGCACAAGTTTTGCAGGCCAACCATTGACATCAGGTGTGCGTCGGCCGCTGATCGAACCCTGGACCATGTACATGTTCGGCGACAGTCCTGACCACTATGCCACCGACGAACACAGTATGCTACACTAATGCTTGCAGTTATTTGAACAAACGGACTGATCTCGGTATTACGGTAAACTCCGGAAATCCTAATATCATTATCAATACAAGACATGGATCACATTCGATTTCATCGATAACGAAGTTAACTTATCGAGTTTCTAAGTGCATAGGTCGGACAAACTAAATTGAAACAGGGGCGGTCACCTACCTCAAGAAGTGCCCGACCCTACTTGGCATTAAAGCCGTAGCAGTCGAAAATGAAACGTGGAAACTTCTACACTGCATACTTACATGCAAAGGCCAGAGTACTGACTACGTTTCAGACAACCTCCTGATACAGAATCTAGGCTCTTCGATATCTGGGTGTTGGAGTCTCGAATTCGGCAACCTCAACCCTTCAGCAGCTGACTGGACAAGCCTAATAATGCCATCCTCAGACAACTCTTTTGAATGTAAATTGTTGGAATATAGTATTTCCCTAGCCATGGTCCAACATGTAACCCAGCCCTCGTAGAACTCTGAAGACTGTCAGTAGGACGAGTGGTATCCCATTGGGCCATATCGTTGACACTGTCATTGATACGCACTTGATGTCATGCAACAAATTTGGTAAAGGAAGACTGTGAGCACCCACTCTACCCGCAGCTCCAACCTTTTATCTCCTCAGGTAAAACCAGAAGTCTTTTCAGAAGAATTTATGCACGTACGTCTAAGTATAGAAATTCCACTAAACCATTTTTAGCAAGTACTTTATGTGATGAAAATAGTGTCAGAAATGAACTAACTAGTCAAATTCAGGCAAAAATCGTCATCTGTGCATTTCATGTATGCCGGGCTTTCAGCAGGAAGGTGAGGTGAAGTTAATTAATACTTGATGCATTTAGACTCGAAATCCTCTTGAACACAGGTTTTTATATCGTCTTGTTAAAGCTGCGACACCTGAAAGGTAGATGCATTGATTTCTAACCATTTAGATTTTATCACTACCTTAGTGTCATTAGGATGGTTGATCGGAGGGTGTGGAATTATGTCAGGCATTACTGGGTGCCTAAGAAGGAGACGTGGGCTGCGGCATATATGCCGAATACTCTGTTGCTGTTTAATAGTACCAACAATAGAGTTGAAAGCTCTCACAGTCACCTAAAACGATATCTCCACAGAAGAGATCCCCTACACGTATGTATGTACAAGACGTATAAATGGTGTGTACGCACAGAGAAGCGTCGTAGTGTTGAAGTCATCGTCGAAAGTTGTCGGATTCATAAGTACCACGCACCGGAACCAGTTATGCCGATATTAGGAAACTTCACTCCTTATGCCACTAAGTTAATTGCCAAGGACTATGGCCGTAATCGTCGGATGAAAATAGAGTTGTATACTGATGATATGGCTATCATAAATGACGGCGTATACCTGCACCAAGTGGATTATACCAATTCTACTTGTACCTGCAGAATATTTAGGGCACAAAGAATACCTTGCCGGCATATGCTGCTATGTCACACTCAAATTCTTCAGTTTACAGGTAAATCAAACTCTTACTAATATTTAAATTAATATTTTTAGTTGACAAAGTAATTCACCTGTGTCGCAGATGGTTTTGGCAGGATCCGTTGCTACCAAGTAGTGGGCCGTGTGAAGGTTCAGTGAAGAAACCCTGCATGGAGATACTGCAACTTCGCAAGCAATTGAACAGAAGCTTCGCAGTTATGCAAGATAATTATAATAATAATAATGTATTTCATATAAATTTACAAATTTACATGAAAATGCATGCGATTTTTACAGGCACGATCAAGTATGATATAATATCAAATCGTAGATTGTCTACAAGTTAATCGTATTTCAACTGTTAAATATTTGATACATATAATACACTCATTTTCTGAATTAGACCGTATAGTTATTGAATTGTACAGTTGTCCTCCAGGTTGAGCGGGAAAATCGACTTCGTTCCGTTTTCATCCCGTGGTTGTAGGCATACGATAACCAACCAATATTGAGGTGAGTACACCTTTTACAAGGGATTGGAATCTGTTTTAGAAAAATTAAAGTGCTGAGGTGAATCATTAAATTGTAATAAAATAGGTAAGTGCAAGTATCATTAATAAATGCATTAATAAAGGAAACACCCTAGGGTAACAACATTCATTTGCAATGTATAATGCTACAGATATATCACAAACTATCATGATATCCACTTTTGGTTTTAATACAATTATCCTCATGCCAATTGTTTTTATTTTATACCTTTTTGTGCATTTAGTGCACAACCGTACCCTTCAGAGAGTAGGAGTATAATAAGTAATGAAGAGCTATAAGATGTTAAGTTTAATGGAGTAAAATGAGGATCAAGTAAAGACGTTGTCAGAAAATAAATGAGATAAGACATTGTGGAGTGGTATGAAAAGATCTGACGATAGACAGCAAGTTAATTTATTAGATGCCCCATAAATCTGAGCAGATCCCACATGGTCGCATCTCAACAATAGGCTGGGTGAATGGTATATATTTAAAGGTAGAAGCATGATCTGTCAAGGCGTTCATTGTTATCTTTTTCAAGATAAAGATTTAAGCCCTCATAAAAATCAGAAATATCTCGAGCCTTCAAATTTTTTAATGCTGTTCCTGCAGAATGGGGCGATTCACCTTAGTGACCCCCATCATATCTACTGATCAGCTAACTCCACCCTCCCACCTTTTTTGATGTTAGGCTCTGAGACTATGATTATTATGGTTACCGCAAATATATTGCTTGGTACCAGACATGTTCGTACCCCATATTCCATCTCCCTAGCTTTCTTAATGAGTGCTTCCAATAGGTCCCCGCGTACATCTTTATGAACATATTATACATGTATGCATGCGTCCTAATGAACAGATTACTTTATAAGAAGTCAAAAACCTTGAAGAATAACAAGAATAGGTTTTGTGAATAGTGGAGCAAGATTCAGCAGAACAATATAGTTAGGGTTCAATATGGGTAGTATGAACTGAAGGTAAGGTCGGTTGGCAGGACCAAGTGTACTAAATTATCATGACAGTTTTATATATAGTAAACATTTGACATTGCAAAGTAACCTGTCTACATATGTTATAAAAAGATATTAGCAGAACCAACAAAATTTCAGCATTTGGTTAACAATACTACAGAAAGTTAGTGAGTCTTACAGGTAGCCGTAAAGTAAATCAATTTATGTATAATAAGAGTGTAATCAGTGTTATAATTCGTATTATCAAAGAATACATTAGGCTCAAAAACTGAATGTTATAAGGGAAATAAGAGTGATAAACTAAGAGACAAGGTCACCGTACATGTATAGACACATGCTAGGTTTCCAACGTCCGAAGTTTGTCATCCCAGATTTAGCTGGATTGAACATTAACTGCCACTTTTCACTCCAATTACATAGACTATTTAGGTCTTCTTGGATTTTACTAACAATATTCATATCATTATAGTCGAAATCATAGACAACTTTGAGGTCGTCTGCAAAGAGGTATGGCTTGCCATACTTGATCATAGAAACAATATCATTTATGAATACAATGAATAGGGTAGGGCCAAGAACACTACCTTGTATCACGCCGCTGGTTATCGGTTTGGATGTTGATAAGTGATGGTTGACTTTAACTAACTGTTCTCTTCCTGTAAGAAAAGAAGTTATCCACTCAAGTAGCCTTCCACTTATTCCATAAGATAGGAGTTTCAATATGAGTCTCTTATGTGGGACCTTGTCAAAAGCTTTCCTAACGTCTAGAAATAATGTTGCTGCTGAACGACCTTTGTCTACACACTCAGTAATGTGGTCGAAATAATCTAATTGGCAAGTAATGCACGATCTTCTATTTAGGAAACCGTATTGGAAGGCGGATATTAAGTCATTCGAGAGCAAAAACTGAACAATTTGCTTCTTTATAATCTTTTCCATCACACGTGAAACTACGGAAGTAATGTTGATGGGGCGGTAATTATCTATGTCCGCTATAGGCCCGGTTTTGTGAATGGGTACAACGTAAGATTTCTTCCAGCTATTTGG